CGTCGTAAAAATAGACTGATCTGAGGGAATTATCTGCTAATAAAGTTGAAGTTAAAAAGGGCGTCTAGTAATATACTTGAAGTTGGTGAGGGGGCTGTCTGCTAATAAAATTGAAGTTAAGAAGGGCGTCTAGTGATATACTTGAAGTTGGTGAGGGGTTGCCTGCTAATAAAATTGAGTTAAGAAGGGCGTCTAGTGATATACTTGAAGTTCATGAGGGGGTTGTCTGCTAATAAAGTTCAAGTTAAAAAGGGCGTCTAGTAATATACTTGAAGTTGATGAGGGGGGTTGTCTGCTAATAAAATTGAAGTTAAGAAAGGCGTCTAGTGATATACTTGAAGTTCGTGAGGGGGTTGTCTGCTAATAAAGTTGAAATTAAGAAGAACGTCTAGTGATATACTTGAAGTTTGTGAGGGGGTTGTTTGCTAATAAAGTCGAAATTAAGAAGGGCGTCTAGTGATGTACTTGAAGTTGGTGAGGGGTTGTCTACTAATAAAGTTGATGTTAGTTGGAGCGAGTATCTACTGTTCAAGTTGACGTTAGCGAGGGAAGATGTATCTATGATAGTGTGAAAAAGGGCATGTAAAAAGGTATTTTAATGAGGATATATAATAATACAGGCGACTGATTAATATTAACCTCTGATCAAAGTGAACTACCTACATAAATCAGAACCAAATATTAACCATTAATGAATATAATGAATTTAATATATTGTTCTCACTTTGTTACTTATAAAGATTTAAAGTAATTGTTTCATCAGTTGGGTACCCTCGTTGACAGCTATGTTTTCGGCCTTAATCCCAATAATATCTCACAAGGTTCAGCCAGTTTAGGCGATTTAGGTTAGCCCTAAATTCATATACTAAGCAAACATTGCAAAATAATCCTTATAATAAGAAATGATAAAAAAAAATGATATACTATATATTCTCTAATCAATACTTGTCATGAAAATAAAATTAATGGCAAAATATACTATAACTTAGTTACTACGGTCGTATGTTGAAAGATGTTTCTCTAACGTATTATGTAGCTTCTAAGTAGATAAATATTTATCTTATTAAAAAGATTATCTAAAATTTAGACTGTAGGTTAAGCAGATTATCAAAAATACAACGGTTTTTTTTATAAATTGCAAGAAAAATAAAATCTGAAAGTGACTTTTTTTTTTGCAGCACCAGTTCAAAAGTACAAGCGGAAATCACACGATTGGGAAACACCAATGAACGGTATGTGATTTGTTCACACAGGAAAATCGTACATAAAACAGTAGACACCTTACTTATAATTGTATTGGCATTTTGTAATTATGGCAAAGCTACTGAGGCCATGTGCCGTCTTCCCTACTTTTGAACTACTGATCTGAGAGAAAAAGGCAGCCAGTTAGTAATACCCTACCACCCACCATGAAAGTTAACGGATTGACTGTCACTCTTATAACACACCCAAAGCCTAAGTTAGGGAAATGGTCTGTGGCATCGCACGGATTCGCACCCTACTCGAATTCTAGAGCTGTATCACAGGGACAAGAATCAGACGACGACTTATTTACCTTAATGAAGTAATCTTGATGAGTATCACTAAACGACCTTCTTAGTTTCAACTTTATTAGCAGACAACTCCCTCACAATCTTGATGAGTATCACTAAACGACCTTCTTAGTTTCAACTTTATTAGCAGACAACTCCCTCACTAACTTGAAGTGTATCACTAGACGACCTTTTTAACTTCAACTTTATTAGCAGACAACTCCCTCACAATCTTAATGTGTATCACTAGACGACCTTTTTAACTTCAATTTTATTAGCAGACAACTCCCTCACAATCTTAATGTGTATCACTAGACGACCTTTTTAACTTCAATTTTATTAGCAGACA